TGGTATGGTATGGTATGGTATGGTATGGTATGGTATGGTATGGTATGTATTGGTATGGTATGGTATGGTATGGTATGGTATTGGTATGGTGTGGTATTTTTTAGGTCCATTTTCTGCAGCATGCTGTTCACACTAGATGTGGCATCCCTGATGCATCTCAAAGACAACTGAAGTATTTACAGTGTGCAGTTTCTTCCTGTGAGTCAGCTCTCACATCGCACCAATCTGAACTTCTCAGTCAAGGTCATAAACACGGGAAGTGCAAATTTATTGGACAAGTTTCCTGTCAAAGATGTTGCCATGAGGGCTCCTTTAAATCCCCATCGGACAACACAAGGCCAGCCAGAACATTTGCTCCCTTCTTCTTGTCCGCCTTTCTTTTGAGTTTTTCCCCACTTGCTCCTCTCTGTCTGTCTCTGTGTCTCAAACTGTTTAGACGCAGAGGTTCATTCCGTTAATATGACAGCTCTTACCAAAGGAGGACTACATTCCTCGTTCTGGATCGTGGATCGGAAGCACATTTATATCGGCAGTGCTGACATGGACTGGAGGTCACTCTCCGAGGTAACAACAAACGTTCATGAGTTGTGCAAAGATAAAAACGAGCTTCGTCAATCATGTACTGATTGGTCTACAGTAGCTTTGGGACCGATAGAAATAAAAGTTAGATGTGGCCATGCAGTAACTCAGCACCCTGCAGGTGTAGAATGGTTCCAGTAGCATTTCTCATTTTATTTTGTATGAAATGAGGAATACAGAAGGATCGTTGGTGGCTGTAGTCATAGAGAGCTCTCCTTCCTGTAACAAGATTGGGCTCTTGACCCTCAACTCCTGCAGAGTACTGTCATTGACCCAGTAATTTAAACACAGACAATCTTAATATGCTAACTGATCGAGAATGAATGTGTGTGTGTGTGTGTGTGAATGAGTGAAGAACACAATGTAAAGATCAAAGTTCATGCTCAATGATCCAGGTAGAAAATCCAACAAAGTTCAGTCAGGTCATCTGGATGGTTTCTTTTTTGTTGAGTTGTTTCATCCTTAATCTAAAGGACTTCACCAGTCCAAGGAGCCACAACAAACTGAGTCCCACAAGCAGCACACCCACATGGTGAACCAACCAGTTTTATGGTGATAAGATGGTTTCTGGAGCCCGCCCTCAACCCCATCAACTCCTCTGAGGCAGCCATAGCCAAAGTGGTTCTAAGTGGGTGTGTTGCTTGTGGGACTCAGTTTGTTGTGGCTCCTCGGTCTGATGAAGTCCTTTGGATGAAGGACGAAACATCTCAACAACAAAACAAAAAAAAGTTCAGATAAACTGACTGAACTTTGTTGGACAATGTAAAGAGCTTTTCAGAACCTGCATGAGGTTACAAAGGAGCCAAAAACCTGAACCATTTTCCATATATACCGTATTTTTTGTACTATAAGGCGCACTTAAAATCCTTGAATTTTCTCAAAAATCAACAGTGTTATGATCCAGTGCGCCCTATGTATTAATTCTGGTTGTGCTTACTGACCTCAAACAGACTTTATGTGGTATGTATGTGCTGTATGTGATATGGCGCTCAAAAATCTGTCAAAATGAACTTATTTCGCTTAATGCACCTTATAGTCCTAAAAATATGGTAGTCATTTATAATAAACAAAATAAAACAAAGTATCAATATTTACTGTAAATGAAGGGGTTTCCTGACTTTTCATGCTTCAGCACTGTCTGCAACCAGAACTACAGCTGAATATCATTAACTGAGGACACAGCAAGTAAAAAAACGCACATCCGTGAAACAAACAGGAAGGCAGAGATTTACCTTCCACAGTAAAGTGACAAACTGAAGCATCTGTTTCCTTCTGGGGAATTACTAAAATAGAACAAACACAAAGCAGAGATCTGCGGTGTAGTTAATGACCATGCACGTTTCATTTAGCTGGTTTTGGGGGGGTGGTTTTTTTTTTGTTTGTTTGTTGTTTTGTGCTTTTTTTTTTGGTTAACAAGCTCTTAGTCGGCCCATCTGATCTTTTTATTTTTGTCAGGGCTGAATAATTATCAGTGTTGCCCTACATTATGAATTAAAGCCTTTTTTTGCACTGAGGATAAAGTCTTGTATTTTCACATTTGTTAGGCGGCAATACAAAAGCGATTAAAAAAAAAACTTTTATATGTTTGAAAAATGATTTGTTTATTAATATTATGGAGTTTTTTATTTTATTTTATTAAAATGCCCTAAAATGACTTGTTTTTCTTTTAGTAAAATACCACCTTGTTCGTGTCATCTCTGCGCTGTAAAAAATTGTTCACCACGTTTAAGACTGAAACTTTAATGCCGCATCATGTCTTCTTGTGTGCTTCTGTCTAACGGCCCCACAGAGGAAAGAACTGGGGGTGGTGGTGTACAACTGCAGCTGTCTGGCTCTGGACTTCCACAGAGTTTTTTCATTTTACTGGCAGCTCCATGACAGGGACTTCATCCCCTCCATCTGGTCCAAGAGAGTCACAGCCCTGTACGGGAGGCACGAGGCCCTGGAGCTGCAGCTCAACGCTACACTGGCCACGGCCTACGTTTCTGTGAGGAACAGTTTCTACCAAGACAAAAATTAAAACATGTAAAATTAATATGAAATCAAATGGAATTTTGTTTCTCCCTATTACAACAACTGAACTGAGATCTGCTCTAACAAAAAGGGGGGGAGAGTCATTTTGAATATCTTTCCAGAGGACCTGACTTAACTTTTTTGTGATTTAATTACCTGGAAAATTGAACTTACATCAGGATATGTTATTTTATAAGGTGAATAGTTCATAGCTATATTGCTTTTGAAGGTTCATATTTATTTTTACGTACTAAAGAACACTTTTTTTCATTATAAAAATGATCTCAGACGACAAAAAATGTAGGTAGTATCTGACCAATTATTTAAAAAATATAATAATAAATGCTATATTTCAATAAATGCTATTTAATATAAATAAAATAATAATATAATTATAATAAATAATACAATAAATAAACAATAAATAAAATAATAACACAAACAAAATTTAATAAATGCTATATTACTATATTATGATATGATATGAAACATGACATATACATGACAGCACAAACAATGCAATATGATATGTGATGTTTTTGTAATACAGTATAGCACGATGAGCTGCAGTGAGATACAATATGATGCAAAATGATGCGATGCAATATATCACAATACAATACAAAATGATTCAATGTGATGCAGTAATCTACATAATGATGACATGCAATACAATTTGATTTGATGCAAAATGATTTCTTATAGAATAATACAGTGTGGTACAATATAATACTTTATAAGATACAGTAAAATACAATATAATATTGCAATGTGCCAGTAATATGATGACAGACAGATTTTATATGACAGACTCTCACCGTGATGGTGAATCTCTCAGAATATGTTTCATAATAAAGTCACGGGAGACACACAGGGGCCAATTAATCATATCAATATCATGCTGAGGAGCATCTTGAGACTGTAACTCTCTAATTTGACAGTAATGAATCGTGTTACCCTACAAGAGACAAGACACTTATCAGTTGAGTTTAGCACATTTATCATCCTGTAGAAACTAATAGACTCGTGCTGGTTTGGACCGCTGGCAGCTCCAAATTACTTTATGAAAAAGAGAAATTATTAATGATACATGACTGCAGAAAGGAGCATTGTTTGTTTTTATCCTCTACACTGGCAAAATCATAGATAGAAGTTATTTTACACAATACTGACAGCATACACACGTTTTTACAGAAATCTATAAAGAAGAAAACAACATTAAATCTAGCTGAAACTCCTTATTGAGCCAATTCTAGGACACTTGAGTGAAAGCCAGTTTAAAGGTCATATCCTTTTTTTTTATTTCTTTGCAGACTTCTCCTGAACTTTTCTGTTCCAAAGATCGCACCAGAGATCTAGACGCCATCCATCAAGTCATCCAGAGTGCAAGGACTTTTATCTTTATTTCTGTGACGGACTACCTCCCTCTGGTCAAGAGGAGCTTCAGAGGCACCTCGGTCACCAGGTGCGTGAGTTTGAAGCAACTTTGAATTTGGTTTGTGGCACAAAGAAGTCAAATATGAACCTAAAACTGAGAAAATTATCTACTATTTAAACACTAAAGTGATTTGAAGTGGATGAAGTGTTTGAATCTGCTGCTTATCAATAACAAACAGCTGCTTCCACAGGTACTGGTCGTATATTGATGAGGTGATCAGAGAAGCCGTGGTGCTCAGAGGGGTCAGAGTTCGTCTGCTCATAAGCTTCTGGAAGAAAACCGACCCCCTCACCTTTAATTTTGTGGCCTCCCTCAAATCTCTGTGCTTACAGCTACAGAACTGTTCCCTGGAGGTGGTATGTGAGCTTTGACTGATCCACACGGATTGTTTTCTGATACAGTCGGTGGATGTCGTGACTTTGCTTTTTTCTCACAGAAATTTTTTAGCCACAAGGAGCAGAAGGAGGACTTTCAACTAGGACTCAACCACAACAAGTACATGGTGACCGACAATGCTGCCTATCTTGGTAGGTGATGGAGATTTATTATTTGATACGTTTGTAAAGAACTAAATGTTTTGTACTGTGTCTATTTTAAAGGTCAAGAAAGACTGATGCAACTTTTTGTTTTGTTTTTGTTGAATTATTACATCATACTCTATTGTTCTTGAAAAATGTTTGAACTGAGATGAAAAGAGACCATTTTATTACATTTTACAATATCCATCCATCCGTCCATCCATCCATCATCTTCCGCTTGTTCCAAAGTCGGGTCGTGGGGGCAGCAGCTTGAGCAGGGAGCCCCAGACATCTCTTTCCACAGCCACCTCTTCCAGTTCTTCTGGGAGGATTCAAAGGTCAACCAAGAGTCTCTCCAGCGTGTCCTGGGCCTTCCCCGGGGTCTCCTCCCTGTCGGACATGCCCGAAGCACCTCCCTAGAGAGCTGCCCAGGGAGCATCCTTACCAGATGCCCGAACCACCTCAACTGGCTCCTCTCGATGTGCAGGAGCAGCGTCTCTACTCCGAGTCTCTCCTGATAACTGAACTTCTCATCCTATCGCTAAAGGAGAGTCCAGCTTCCCTGTACAGGAAACTCTTTTCAACCTCCTGTATCCACGATCTCGTTCTTTCGGTCACTACTCAGAGTTCATGACCACAGGTGAGGGTAGGAACTTAGACTGACTGGTAAACAGAGCCTTACCAGAGCCTTGCCAGCTCCCTCTTCACTGCAACGGACCGGCACAGAGTCCACAATTCAGAGCCCAACTGGCCCCCATGTGTAGAAACCCAGTCACCAGGCGCTTGCCGACAAGCCCCTCCCCCAGGCCTGGCTCCAGGGTAGCACCCCGGTAACCTACGACTGGGTGAGGGCCATGCTTAATTTGAGCTGGATCCTGCCAGAACAGTATTCTGGAGCACAGGGTGCATTCCAGTAACTGTTTGCTTGGATCCGATAACTTTCAGGCTTACTAATAATAAAGTTATGACCAAATATGACTGTCTTGAACGAATAAAACTTATACTGGATATGTAAACTGAAAATATTTACATAAACACTCATTTTAAACACAACAGCCACTTACAACTTTTTAATATCACATACGATCTGCCCCTTCAAGTGAAGCATTTCCACCTCTACTCTTAAAAAAATCTTCACCCCTAAAAGAGTGGTGGGGGTGGGTGCCGAGCTTCCTGCAAAAGTACTGCAATCTGGTGCAACTGAATCTTTTACGAAACAGCAGCTTCCTGTGCTTCACCCTTAGTAATTTACAGAAATTTCCCTATACATGTATCAAGAAAATAAATAGGGCTATTTAGGCACAGTATTCATATTTGGTCTGTTTATTCAACAGGTAACCACGACTGGGTGGGCAGTGACTTTGTGATTAATGCAGGAGTTGGACTGGTGCTGAAGATGAAGGAAAGTCCAATCGATGGAGGCGCTACGGTTCTGGAGAACCTTAAAGCGGCTTTTGAAAGAGACTGGAGGTCGCCTTATGCTAAGAACCCACAGAAAAGCAAAGATCAGCAGGCAAAATACAGAAATCTGCAATGGTCTAAAAATCACTGGGACATCCCAGAGGAGAATGACTGGAACAGGCCTTTATGAGCAGAGAACGTCTCTGTTCTTGTCTGTAGATTTTACAAACGTGCACAAAAGAACTCTATCCACACTACTTTTTTTTTTTGGATCCTAATCTGAGGAAATTAGTTTCAATCAACAAAAGTGACATTAAAACCTTACTATGATTCAGCTGATAGTTACATTTATGGAACCTAACAATTTAATCAGATGTAATCTTTTCTGTGAGCATGCACGGCTGCATGGATAATGCAAACGATTTGCACTACGTATATGCAAACAATGTAACATGAACAATCTGTGATGTTTATGAAATCTACTTATTTATTTCATCAAACTCAACAAAACCATATACATAAGTTGTACATCTTTTTTTTTTCTTTTACAGTTTTAAACCATATTTACTGGAAATAATAAATGAGTTTAGATCGTAGTGTTTTAATGCTGCAGAGTGTATTATAATCCAACCTATAATGGACTGACAGATTCATTCAGAAGCTGTATTAAATATATTTTAACTCATTGAAGTCTTACATCTTTGTTTTGTAGAAATACGTTTCTTCCTCTCTAACTAGTGCGGTTTAATTCTAAATGTTGGGATCTGTAAGGAAACCAGTTCCTTTAGCGTGTTCTATAAAACAACATAAGAACATGAACTGCAGCTTAAAAAGGCTACGATGTTGTAGTTTGTTTAATCCTTGATTTGTTTCATGCTTTGACGTCCATCCTTTATCTTTACCCGCTTCTTCCTTTCTGGGTCGTGGGGGTCACTGGTGCCCATATCCAGCTATCACTGTGTGAGAGGCTGGACACCCTGCAGGTCACAAGTATGACTTATGAGCAGTAATCCAACATGTTTTTTCTTTTACATGTTTTTGTTTAGGACTGTCATAAGTAAAGGGTTTTTAATAAAGGGATGCAGAACTTTGTTGGATTTTAGAGCAATATTTTTTTACCCTGATCAGTGTGTGCACTGAGTATTAGTTACATATCTAGATTTTGAATTATTCTATTAAAAAAAAAAAAAGAAATTTACTGACAAAAGTACAACACACGCAACATGTCAAGAATGAAATCTTTTATAGTGCAAATAAATTTAAAACTCAATCTCAGTTTGATTCAATGATTTAAACGTCATCTATTTGTGACTAGCTAGCTTGATCTAGCTCCAAGGACAGGGGTGGTAGGGGTGAGGAAGGTGCTGCAAGATCCCCTTATGGGTGCTAGATAATATGCATGTCCAAATAAATTGATAAAGATTTAACAACAAAAACAAAAAAAGAATGTTTGTAGTATTCAGATTAAAATAAAATGTATTGCCAGTTTGCTTTGCATTGTTCGTGTAAACAGTTATTGAAAGCTTTATATTATATTTTATATTATATATATATATGCAGGTAGGGTATGTATATATAATAATAATAATAATAATACTTAATCTATAAAGCCCATACATATATACACATAT